CTACTTTTTCTTTTACTTCTTCTTGTTGTTGTTATTGTTGTTATTGTTGTTGTCTTTTTCCCCTTTTCCTTATCGTCCGTGGTCCCCTTATTCTTTCTTTCTTCTTCCTCTCTCTTCTTCGTCTTCTTTCTTTCTCTCTCTTTTCACCTTTTCTTGAGCCAAGAGTCTATCGGAAACAACCTCTCTACCTCGCCAGGTAGGGTAAGGTTTGCGTACACACTACCCTCCCCAGATCCCACTTGTGGGATTATACTAGGTATGTTATTGTATAGAGTTATCAAGGTGAATAACTCAGTATGACTCTTAAGACATCTAGTGCAATGTTCGGTTTATTAACTTTTTTCTCTCCTTTTTCATCTATTTGTTCTTGTTTAGTTTTCTTTTTATTATTATTTTTAATTTGAAGGAAGGGCCAATGGTGTAGGAATATGACAGGATTATTAAAGTAAGCTTGACTACTGGTCAATAGAGTTCACAATAACATCTACCATGATGCCCAAAAAGAGAATATAGAAATGGTCTAACAATTAATATACATTTTATCGCCTCTGTACAATTAAAGTTATGTGGGATGCATTTTGAAATCAACCTCTGATGAGCCTGACATCCCAAATCAGGAATATAGTAACATATATGATCCATGTATAACTTCAAACTTACTGGGATTTGGATCAAGCATTTTTTAATATGCAATTTAGTCATACTGAAGAAAATCGAAAAAGGAAAACATAAATATCACTCTCTAACATTCGAAACTTAAAAAAGAAGGCAATTAGACATAGTGGAGTACATGTTCCTGGGCCATTGCACAAGATCTGGGATATCAAAGAATATATATATCAGTTAAGCAGGATCTTAAAAGGAAAAAAGAATCTGGAGATGCAAAAAAGTTATGTTGGGAGAGGGGGTTTCCGAGAAAGTAATATGAACTAAGTTTGTCTTTTACCACTTTAGGTCTGTGAGAAAGCACGGGAGAAAATATATTATTGATATTAGATACTCAATATAATATAAGAGGTCCTATTTATAGTTATAGTCTACAAAGTACATATTACTCCCATTCCAATATTGGACTACACATAATTAACACTCCCCCTCAAACCGGTGCATACACATCATATGTATCGAGCTTGTTACACATATAATTAATACGAGAACCGGTAAGAGACTTAGTGAAAATATCTGATAGTTGATCATTCGACTTTACAAACTTTGTAACAATATCTCCTGAAAATACTTTTTCTCTGACAAAGTGACAGTCGATCTCAATGTGTTTAGTCCTCTCATAGAACACCGGATTTGACGCAATATGAAGAGCAGCTTGGTCCATATTGCTGATTCTCCGAACTTTAACTCCTTGAGCAACTGCTTGACCCAAACTAACTCACACGTTGCCATAGATATGGCTCGATATTCGGCTTTAGCGCTAGATCAAGCAACTACATTCTGTTTCTTGCTCTTCCACGAGACCAAACTACCTCCTACTATAACACAATATCCAGATGTAGAACATCTATCAGAAGGTAATCTTGCCCAATCAGCATCTGTGTACCCAACAATCTGCTCGTGGCCTCGATCCTCGAATAGTAATCATTTGCCTGGAGCTGACTTTATATACCGAAAAAGGCGAACAACTGCATCCTAGTGACTATCACAAGGAGAATCCTTAAACTGACTTACAACACTCACCGAAAAAAAATGCTAGGTCTAGTCACTGTGAGGTAATTCAATTTGCCAACCAACCTCCTATATCTCGTAGGGTCTCTAAGAGGCTCCCCCTGTCCAGGCAGAAGCTTAGCACTCAGATCCGTAGGAAAGTCAATATGTCTGCAACCCATCATTCCAGTCTCCTCAAGAATGTCTAAGGCATACTTCCGCTGTGAAATAACAATACCTAAGCTAGACTGAGCGACCTCAATACCTAGAAAATACTTCAATCTGCCTAGATCCTTAGTCTAGAAGTGCTGAAAGAGATGCTGCTTCAGATTAGTAATATCATCCTGATCATTGCCAGTAATAACAATATCATCAACATAAACCACCAGATAAATACACAGATTAGGAGCAGAATGCCGATAAAACACAGAGTGATCAGCCTCACTACGAGTCATACCGAACTCCTGAATAATTGTGCTGAACTTACCAAACCAAGCTCGAGGGGACTGTTTCAAACCATATAGTGACATGCGCAATCTGCATACACAACCATTAAACTCCCCCTGAGCAACAAAATCAGGTGGTTACTCCATATAAACTTCCTCCTCAAGATCACCGTGGAGAAAAGCATTCTTAATGTCAAACTGATAAAGAGGCCAATGACGTACAACAACCATGGACAAAAAAAAGACGAACAGATACTACTTTAGCCACGGGAGAGAAAGTATCGCTATAATCAAGCCCAAAAATCTGAGTATATCCTTTTGTAACAAAACGAGCCTTAAGTCGATCAACCTGGCCATCCGGGCCGACTTTGACTGCATAAACCCAACGACAACCAACAGTAGACCTGTCTGCAGAAAGAGGAACAAGCTCCCAAGTGCCACTCGCATGTAAAGCAGATATCTCGTCAATCATAGCTTATCGCCATCCTGGATGAGATAGTGCCTCACTTGTAGACTTAGGGATAGAAACAGTGGACAAAGAATATATAAAAGTATAATGAGGTGACGACAAACGATGATAACTTAAACCGACATAGTGGGGAATAGGATTAAGTATGGATCATACACCTTTGCGGAGTGCAATTGGTTGACTAAGAGGAGACAAGTCCACAGTAGGTGCAGAATCTGATGCAGGACGTGAATCACCTGGACATGATGCTGGATGTGGACGATGATGATAAGTCAAGAGTAGTGGAGCTGCAGAAGGTTGAACTAGATTATGTGAAGGAACTGGAGCTATAGGTGGTGGAGCTACAACTGGAGTTGTAGGTGGTGGAGCTGGAGCTATAGGTGGTGGAGCTACAACTGGAGCTGTAGGTGGTGGAGCTTGAGATGTAGAGGAAGATGAATGGGATATAGTGACTGAATCTCCAAAAGATGAAACTGGTAGTACCTCAAAAATATCTAAGTGATTACCTGGACCTGTGAAGTATGAATGGGTTTCAAAGAAGGTAACATCATCGGACAAAAGGTACCGCTGGAGGTCAGGAGAATAGCATCGATACCCTTTTTGTGTTCTCGAGTAACCCAGAAATACGCACTTAAGAGCATGAGGAGCTAACTTATTTGTTCCTGGAGTAAGGTTATGGACAAAACAAGTGCTTCCAAAGATACGGGGTGGAAGAGAGAATAAATATAAGTGGGGAAACATGACAGAGAATGGAACTTGGTTCTGGATAGCTGAAGATGGCATACGATTAAAAAGATAGCAAGATATAAGAAGTGCATCCCCCCAAAAACGCAACGGAGCATGAAATAGTATGAATAGGGTACGAGCAGTTTCAATAAGATGTCTATTCTTTCTTTCAGCTACCCCATTTTGTTGAGATGTGTACAAACAAGTTATTTGATGAATAATCCCATGAGAATTCATAAACTGCTGAAATGGGGAAGACAAATACTATCAGGCATTATCACTACGAAATATGCGAATAGAAACCTCAAATTGATTTTGAATTTCAGCGTGGAAGGTCTGGAAAATAGAAAACAGCTCAGATCATTTTTTTATCAAAAACATCCAAGTGCACCTGGAATAATCGTCAATGAAACTGACAAAGTAGCGGAATCCCAAGGTGGAACTGACCCGACTAGGACCCCAAACATCTGAATGGACTAAAGTAAAAGGTGACTCTGCTCGATTATCAAGACGCCGAGGGAAATGGGAGTGAGTATGCTTACCGAGCTGACAGGACTCACTCTAGAGCTGACAAGTGAGATAAACCAGATACCATTTTCTGAAGTTTTGACAAATTGGGATGTCCCAACCGTTTATGTAATAGATCTGGTGAATCAGTAACAGGACAAGTTGTTGAAGGAAGACAAGATGTGAGTCCATGAGATTTAACAAGGATAAGGTAATAAAGCCGGTTTGATTCACGCCTGGTACCGATGACCTGCCCCGTACTGCGTTCCTGTATAAAAACATGGTCATCAAGAAATAAAACAACGCATTTAAGTGATTTGACTAAGCGACTAACATCTATGAGATTAAAAAGACTATTGGGAACATAAAGGACTGAATCTAAAGGTAAGGAAGGAAGTGGCTTGCTTGACCTATTGCAATTGCCATGGTTTGAGACTCATTGGCCATTGTGACTCTTGGAAGAGATTGAGAATACGAAATAGTAGTGAAAAGAGATTTGTTACTAAAAATATGATCTGATGCACCTGAATCAATGACCCAAGACTCAGAGGATGAAAATTGGGAGAAACAAGTCACATTATTACCTGTTTGAACAACAGAAGTTATCTCAGAAGATGACTGCTTACATGTTTTGTACTGAAGGAACTAAATATAATCCGCTAAAGAAACCATCCGATTATTCAAAGTATCGGTTCCCATTTTTGTTATGAAAAAAAATTCTAACAACCTCCGTGAGGCCTAGCTAACAACCAAAGTGAAAGGGAAATTTTTTTCACTGTTACTGTTCACCGGAAAACACTGTAGCGCGCCGGAATAAAAAAAGCCGTCAAAATCTGATGTAACCTTGATGGGTAGGCTCGGAATTGCAAGGGGAACAATCTGTCCTGAAGAGTCGTCGCCAAAAAATGGCCGGAATTGGCCCACGCGACGTCGGAACTTCTCCGGAAAATTTTCTTCCGGCAGCGAATGGCGACGCGTGGAGGGTCTTCTGACGGAGATTCTTTTATGGGTTTGTCGTCGGAGCCCGATCTACTTTGTGGTGGTATTGGTTTATGCACAACACTGACGAAAAATAATTTTTTTACTTGCGGCAAACCTGTATTTGCTGGAAAGACTTCCGGTCGACTGATTTTTTCTTCCCGGAGTCGCTGAAATTTATGCACAGCGATAAATCTCTCACAATTGCTCTGATACCATGTGAGAAAGCACGGGAGAGAATATATTATAGATATTAGATACTCAATATAATACAAGAGGTCCTATTTATAGTTATAGTCTACAAAGTACATATTACTCTCATTCCAATGTGGGACTACACATAACTAACAGGGTCTGATCTTGATCATCAACTAGAACGTATGTGCCATAGCAATCAATGTGGCGGTAATATATGATTGACCAACTTCTCGACTCTGATGTATCTGCGTTAACGGCCCTTCCTACTCCTGCCTAGATTAAGAGGTGAACCTGTTAATATACAAAATATCAGGAATCAATCAAATCAATAAATAGTGCCTCAATTTGAAGCTCAACAGTGGACGTACTACCCATATTTTGCTTAAATGCTTAAATAAAACTGAATTAATCTAAAGCTTCAACGAATATTTGCAAACTAAATAATTCCACCAATATAGACGTTGTCGAATATATGTACGAAAAGGAAAAGACCATTTGAAGGAAGCTCAATAGAGAAATACGTACTACCCATATTTTGCCTTCTCTTTTTTTTACGAAGTTACAGAAGAAAACTATCTTATTACTACAATGAGCACCCCCAGTGCTATAATTTTAAATGGCACATAAAGCTTTCTAATGACACGATGATAATGCAAAATAAGGAAGAACATTATTAGCTAAAGGATGTCAAAGCGATCAATCAAATCAATAAATTGTGCCCATATACATATTACCCATATTTTGCTTAAATGCTTAAATAAAACTGATTTAATCTAAAGCTTCAACAAATATTTGCAAACTAAATAATTCCACCAATTTGGGGGTTTTGGTTGTGGGGAGGGGTTTGGGGGGGGGGGTGGTTTCCGCAGGCTACTCTAACAGTTGCTTAATGACAAGTCAATACCAGTTCAACAGATATTGAAGGATGCGGTGTTAGTGCACAACCAAATACTCAAATTGTAGAGTACCAGAATATAGTACAAGAAGACTAACCTCAATTAGTTGAGCATCCAGTGAATTTATCTTAGACTTTTGCTCCTCAACATCTTTGGATAGTGTCAATTTTGTTGTCTCCATGTTCAGATGTTTTGATTTGACAACCTCATTAGCATTGGACTCCCTATCCTTTGGTGAATTTAACTTGATGTCTTCTACAGACTTTCAACATCTTTGGATAGTGTCAATTTTGTGTCTCCATGTTCAGATGTCATGATTTGACAACCTCATTGGTATTGGACTCCCTATTGGTTAGGAGAACTCAACTTGATGTCTTCCACAGCCTTTGCGAATTTTGGCTCCTCTTCTGCAACAAATCTGTACCCTTGTTGTTCTCAACCACCTACATTGAGAAGCAATTGTTTAATAGATCGTCACACTTCAAAAAGTAGTCATTACGTAAATGTCCTTTGCACATATTCGACATATTGTTTCAACAACCTCACCAGAATTGGACTTGGTATCTTTTGCAAAGTTCAAACCTAAGTTCACAATTTTTCCCAATCTTGGCTCCTCTGATTCTTTTTCAAATTTAATATCCTTGTTGTTCTTACCCACCTGCATTTTGGGAAGAAAACTTTTACTACTTGATTATCACAGTTTTAGAAAAGGAAATGTCTCATGATAGTATGTTTTATTTCTTGATGCCAATGAGCAATAACCAATCGCACAAAAATTTAATGTCACCAAAGTTTATTAAATGGATGATAATGCAAAAAAATATCCACATTACATTCCAGGAAGAACTGATTATTAGCTAAAGTATGTCAAATGATTCTTTTTCAAATTTAATATCCTTGTTGTTCTTACCCACCTGCATTTTGAGAAGAAAACTTTTACTACTTGATTATCACAGTTTCAGAAAAGGAAATGTCTCATGATAGTAATATTTATCTCTTGATGCCAATGAGCAATGACCAATCGCACCAAAAATTAATGTCACCAAAGTTTATTAAATGGATGATAATGCAAAAAAATATCCACATTACACTCTAGGAAGAACTGATTATTAGCTAAAGTATGTCAAATGATTTCCAAGAAATGAACTTTGGAAACTAAATAACTCCACCAGTATAGACTTCGTCGAATATATGTACGAAAAGGAAAAGACCATTTAAACGAAGCTTAACAGTGAAATACATATTACCCATGTTTTGCCTCTTTTTCTAGAAAGTTACAGAAGAAAACTATTTTCTTGCTATAGTGAGCACTTCCAGTGCTATAATCTCAAATGACAGGTAAAACTTCTTAATTGCACGATGATAATGCAAAACAATCTCCACATAACACTCCAGGAAGAACTAATTATTAGAACCATGTCAAATTATTTCCAACAAATGGTCTGATCCAAGCTAATATTACCTTCAAGTCCACCTAGGTGATGTTTGATATGGATGTAGCAAAATTTCCCTTAATTTTGTCAATTCAAACACGATCTACAACTTGACCGTTCTCGCAACAATGCGTCGTCAATATGTCATAAAATATCCACAACTTGTGCTCCATGGAACACACTGGCTATTTTGCCTATAAAAATAAACACACTTTTATGAGCTAAATACTTGTGATGAAAACTTTTTGAGGATGAAAAGAGTTGCAATTTTCCTATCATGACAGTGTTAACCTGCAAATATAAATTATAAGGTTCCGAAGCCAATTTGAGACACCAAAGGTTATGAAAATGCTATTTACATGCTCGGAAAAATGTGGAAGACAAAATAGAAGCATAAGAAGAATACCAATTTGAAACATAACTAAGTCTTCAAAAAACTAACACATCAAAACTATTTAATGAGAAATGTACTATTCTATGAGGGGGAGGCGTTATCAAATTTTTCCCATTAATCCACTGGAGGGGGGAATACCATCAAACTGAACATAAAAATGCAGCTAGATAATAAAAGATTTGGCTAAACCATGTCGATTAACAGTGAATAGAAAATCACAATTCACGAAGAAAACAATTTCACTAACATGTCCGATACTTTATCTATATCTTTCAGATGCATTACCAGTAGGATAAAGTAAACGTCATTGGCCAAAAAAACGGTGCCTGCTGTGTCAATCATAGAAAGTAGGCTTATTCTATGTATATCTACAACATTTGAACTGGAATGAGAAAAAGCTCCTGCAAAGAGGATAGAGAATCTAAACTTTGCAGATGTTATATAGTAAAAGAACTACATCTGGCAAATTAAAGAAGCATTCAAAAAGATTAACCAGCAGTATTAAAATATCAATTTAGTAATACTTCCCTCTTGTTGTACGTATACATCATTGATCTGATGAAAGGCAAAATAATTTCTGTTGGAGAAATTTTGATTTTTTAATCCCCCCTGTAAAATCTCCTAATTCTGCATGTTATTTCTAATATAAGGGTATTAACCAATCCACATCTATTAGCAACTTAAAATATCTTTTTCAATGTTTCATTATAAGAGAACCAACAACTTAGTTATTTCTCTCATCCGAAGTCGCATTGATTGGCATTTCATCTGAGTACACAAATAAAATGAACTTTCACTTATTTAGCAGTAATTCTAGTAACTCAAACAGTAATAGAATGAATACTGCAACAAAATACCATTTGAAAGAACTCGAATGGAGGCACCAGTTGTTTGCTGGATAGGCTTGATTAAAGACCCTTGTTTTCCTATTAAGTTCACAGCTTGTGTTGATGCTACAAGTAGTCTGATAGAGCAGAATGCAGCCCCAGCAGCTCCAGGTAAGTTGCCATCAGCTTCAAGTCCACTAACGCGTTTGAACACTCTTATTACAGCATCCATCGCAGGGATAATGCTGCCTCGGGTTCTTCCTTCCCCTATATTAGAACCTATGACATTGTTTATGGAGACTATCACAAGGACTACTTTCTCGAAGAGAGAGCAGAACACAAAAAGACTAGATCCAGTCTCAACAAGTCTGGAAATTTCCTGTGGCACTGGAATGTTAAGCTCAGAACATATCAAGTGTATTATTTTCGCAGTCACAGATCCAAATGACAACTTATTGAGAGTTACTGCAATTGCAAACTTATGCTTGAGGTTACAAAAACCAGTAGATCCGCCCATACCTGAATGCCCGAAGCCAATAAGTTCCCCACTTGTTGAGTAACTCCTTTTAAACCCAAGCCCAAACTCCCCATTAGGGTCCGTAAGGTTTTCATATTCTCCAACTCCCATGAAAGCATCATGAACTCTTTGGTTGTGGAAGAGTTTAATATTCCGGTTATCACTTGACGTATCACCGCCACTGCAGCTATTGTCGTCGGGAATCCGGACATAAACATTACCTTTGCCATCATTTCCATAGCCATTATCAACAGACGAACTGCTGTTTTGAGTCGGTCCAGGACCATCAGCATCTGAAGCAGCAGTTTTCTTCCTAGATTTTTGCTTCTTAACAGTCTGTTGAGAAGGGAACTTTGGAATGTGTGGGTGGCTTCCTAAGGTTGGCATGGAAGAATAATGCGGTGGAGGAACTCTCCCACCCTCAGCGAGTGCAGCATAATAGCGGGCTAGGGCACGAGCAGAGCAGTGTCCATTGGCAGCAGGTATAATAGCACGGCGAGCATAGAGAGAATTGAATATGGCAGGTAAAGTAGTTGCAAGTTGAGCGATCTGCTGCGGCTGGAAGGTGGATGGCAAGTCTGAATGGTTGCTGACATTCGACAACTTGGTGAGATCACTCATATCTACTGTAAGCGTTGCAAGTCGAGATTCCACACCTGCAATAGGGAATTTTAGGTGTCAACTATCAGATGGATATATATATATAATAGCACGGCGAGCATAGAGAGAATTGAATATGGCAGGTAAAGTAGTTGCAAGTTGAGCGATCTGCTGCGGCTGGAAGGTGGATGGCAAGTCTGAATGGTTGCTGACATTCGACAACTTGGTGAGATCACTCATATCTACTGTAAGCGTTGCAAGTCGAGATTCCACACCTGCAATAGGGAATTTTAGGTGTCAACTATCAGATGGATATATATATATATATATATATATAGGGAGAGAGAGAGAGAGAGAGAGAGAGAGAGAGAGGAGGTTGAAAGCCTTCACAACAGCATCTACAAATACTAAATAATGATAGCTTCGAAAGAATGGTAGCTAATGACGCATCTTAATAGTGAGAAAAGAAGAATAAAATGCAAAATTCACAAGAAAATAATTCAGTCACCTTTCCCAGTATGAGAAATTTGTAAGTGGAACAAACTTTAAAGACATTACCAATCTTAATTTCAAATGCGCCTTCATTTTCATGCTGCAACACTAACTCATTGTTATGATTTTCTCTTCAACGCAAAAGAAGGATAAGTGACAAAACAATAACCAAATATAAAAGTACTTCGCGGGAAGCTTCCAGTTGAATCTGAATTCCAAATGAATGATCAATTCATTTACAACCGTGTAAATATTAGAGATGCTATACTCATAGTGGTAACCTACTGCTTCCCAGCCAATCACTTGAGACATATCTGATTCAACAATTACATGCCACACACAAGCAAAACTATCATGAATAACTAATTTGTGTCTGTATAGTGAAACATGGTACAATACAACCAGTATGCTCAACCGCTTTCCCTCAGGTTCCCAAAAGTATTGAAAGACTTCTAACACAAACAATTTTCAAAAGTTGCAGTTTGCATACCTTCCTATCATAGTCATACCAAAGAAGGTGTTGTCTAGACAAATGAACGGGAATAAGTAGTGTTGAATCACGGACGACAAGCACCGTCGACTATCCATTAATGTGTTTTTTCACAAGTGTCGATACTCTAGGTGACCTGCATGTTTTTCTGCAACATTATAATTAAATTTTCTTCATCAAATAGCAGAAGATGATGAGGAAGCAACAATTAAGTAACAACCTGAGAAAGCAGAACTATTTGACATTGTAAAATACGATATCATAGTATTAATAACAACTGAGCATAAACGAAGACATCAACGTATAACAAGGTATGTAATTCAAAGAGTTGTCTATCTAATAAGCTGCTTTAACCAATAGTGCAGCAGTGGTCAAACACAAATTAACGAATGAACTAACAACAGAGACAGAGTGATTGTATGTCTGTTAAGTAGTGAGAATTAGACAGAAGTAATTAGTTTGCAAAGATAAATAATTCCATAGATGTCTTCTGAAGTTTAAGCATACAATGGTCAAAAAGTGGAACGGAAATATTATTTTCACAGGTAAAAGTTTACCGTATGACAAATACGATACAAATTCTTGAATCGATTTTACTATCTAGAACGTCCAAATTACCATCATCTCCATTGTAATTCTTAGTCTTCCTTGTTGTATTATATATATTCCGAAAGCATTCAACATATAGCTAGAAATTTTCATAATTTGCATGTAAGACAATAGAAATTAAAATTTTAGGTACTATTCATCATTAAAGACCTACAAGAGCATGGGGAATAACATTCTGAGCTAATAAGCAATTCCCAAGGCCAGTCTTCTCCTTTTTATTTCTATCAAAGAAGCATGCTTAACACAGCCTATATTGAAAATCCCCATTCCATAAATTTTAGAAGAAGTTAGGGAATTGCTTCATAATTATTAGAAAGGATTCAAATCCTTATCTCCAATTTTCTTTTGTCCTACTTCTTCCATTTAATAGTTGAAACTTACAATAAGTTTCATCCCTTGAACCACATTCCAATGTGAACTTTTCACATTGTTGAACACTCTTTTTAGCATGATGTCAATATTTGAAAAATTTTAAAGGATATCAAAATTTGATGTTTCTGCTTTGGTTTTCTGCTGCTTTCATTTGTGAAAAACAAAACTGCAAATACTCCTACTGATTCACTTTTTGCTCATTTCATCAACAACTCTTCAGTTTTTGTGCCTTGTATCCAGGCAATTTCACAAACACTTCTAATGCAAACCCAAATGCAGTTTGTATGATAACAAACTCAAATCTGTTCTTACTGCACTTTGACAGAGGTAAAACAGATCAAAATTAAAACTAAGCTCGGGAAAAAGCAATTTGAAGATGCACAACAGCGAATACAACAATATATCACCAATTAGCTTAATATTTTAGACAAAAGTAGTCTAAATCTATTGTCCAAGTTTAGAACATAAGAAGGAAAACATTCTGCAGATTAAAAATGCTCAATCAAATATTTCTAGCTTCCTGGAGGAATAGCTACAGAGTTTCATCAAATCAAACACAGTAGAGGATAGGGGGGGCATGTAAACAATTCCATGCGATTGCCAACTAATCACTTATCATCAACTAAATTATACTCCATTAATGGAACATCAAATGTTCATATGCTATTTGTCTTCATGGCTTCGGACCCTCGTTAATTAATGTTCATGCACCAATTAATAACTCCTGATAGAAAGCTACTTCATCCTCTAGCTAGTCCTTAAATCTCTTTTTTATCAAAGTAAACTTATCTTTGTGTAGAATAGGACCCACACAAGCTCTAGCTGGTGGCATTTCTAGCTATTTCTCAATCTTCCCAACAATAAATAGCACCCACAAGCTCAAGTTGGTGGCATATCAAAGGCTAATGTATAAGAACAACAAATTGACCAACTTGTTACTAGTTCATGAATCCTTTGCTAAAATTGTATGTTCACCTAATCTTAAAAGTATTTCATAAATTGATTTGGTCCACAGCTAATTGAACAAAAAAATAGAAAAACATAACTATGAAGTAGGTAATGAGATTTATGTTTTGACCAAACATTACATCAAATTCTTCCAAAGTATTGGGAACCATGAATTTCTCATGGCTTGTTTTCTATGTAGTAGCATTCCACATGTCAAGGAACTCCAAGAATCTTTTTTCTTGTGAACTAATTGACCAAAGTATCTTAAGTACATTAAGATCTAAGCTGGAATTAGTAATACACACCTTCATTTGAAGAAAAAGCATCACAGATCACAATATATAGTCCAAAGTAACTAAAACTTTTAAAAAGGCAAAAGTTCTAATTTTTCTTCCAATAATTCTCTCAATTCTCAAGATTACAGTAATGTTTATATAAGACCAGAACTGAAAGAACCCATCGGAAGCAACAGCTTCCAAGAACTTCAAGAATAAACCAAAAAAAAAGACCCAAAAAGCAAAAAGTTCAAATTTTGAAGAAATAGGGTTATCAAATTGATCGCAAGAACTGACAGCAGAAGCTGATTTTATAAAGGTAAACCAAACGTTTAAATCATTTGAAGGTGTGAGTTAAGATTTCTTGAAACAGTATATTAAAAAACAGTTTAGGTCAATCGTAGTTTCTTTCCGGCAATTTCGCAAACACTTCTAATGCAAACCCAAAGGCAGTTTGTATAATAACAGACTCAAATCTGTTCTTACTGCACTTCGACATAAGTCGAACAGATGAAAATTAAGAGTAAGCCCGGGAAAGAGCAAGTTGAAGACGCAGAACAGTGAGCGTAACAACACATCACAAATTAGCTTAAAATTTCACACAGAAATAGTCTAAATCTTCTATCCAAGTTCAAAACATGAGAAGCAAATATTGTTCAGATTAAAAACCAGCTGAATCTCAAATCTAAATAACTGTGGTAATCATACCTTTACTGTATATCAGACAAATAGCAAGAGAGCTAGTCCAGGAACGTGCAAACGGCAAACTGAAAGACGGCGTAAAGAAGAGCAGGAACTTGAGAAATCATCAAAGATTTGCACAAAGAAAACAGAGGAAGCCGAGTGCAACCGAAAATTTTGCTAGGTAGCAACGTGTCAAACCTGGAGAAAGCGGGCAGCAAGTGTCGAACTATAATGTTAGGCATTTTGATTAAACTACAATTAAACCCTTCTGACTCGCTTTCTAACCGGATGTTGTTCTGTCTTTAACCGGATGCAGCTCTCGTCTCCCGCTTATTAATAGTAGGAATACATAAGGAAAGAGAATAAACAAAATCTAAAAAGAAATTTAAAGGAACAAAATCATTTGAATTTGGGTGAAGAATGTAGAATCAGTATATTAAACAATAGCCTCGAACCACCATAACGAAAGAACAACGAAGGAATAAATAAGAAAACACAGGATTTTCTCACACAAAATTCTTCAATTGACAAGAAGAGAGTTTTGTTTAACCCTCTGGATCTTAAGAAATTATTAAGCCATTATGAATCCAAAATAAGGTAAATGCATTATCTTGGATGGGTCATTAGCATCACAAATACTCCCACTCTCCCATTTATGCAACACCATTTGACTTGATACAAAGCTTAAAAAATTATTTTGATTTGCTATTATGTAAGCTAAAGTGGATGAAAGCATTTGAATAGTTCTTGAAAAGCCAGTATGATCAAACAGCATCCCATCAGAGTTCAAACTCAAAAAATTGATTGAAAATAAGTTTCTGAATTTTTGAATGTCATATTTGTGGCCTCGCAAAAATAGAAAATACCGCATATAAATTGGATCAAGGGGTAGAAGATAGTAGAATATAGGGAAAAAATACAATTTCAAATGAATCTTTAAATCAAAAATCATGATCATTTGAGCTTAAATGGACTTATAGAACACAAAGATCAAAGTTGCTAACTGCGAACCCAATTTGGAAACTCGTTCTTCGTTTCTTCTTAATTCCTCATCTAGATTCCTGTAGCTTCTCAAAAGTTGAGAACATCATATAAGTGTTGATGCATGCTCAAATTTCAACAATTTTGAAATGCTACAAGCGCACACAGCTCATTGCTTCTTTTCCTCTTTCTTTCTTAATCAAATAAAAAGATGCTAAAGTTAGATTATCTCATCACATTTTACTCATCATGAGTAATAGATACTCCCAAGACTTTGGTCTAGTGGTAAGAGTGCAATGCGTAATATGTGGATTAAGCACTTGTCATATATCCGAACCTTGTTTGCCTTCTTAAAGGCAGGGGTAAGGTCTGCGTACACTCTACCCTCCCCAGACCCCACTTGTGGGATTACACTGGTTTGTTGTTGTTCTTCTTCTTGTTGTTGTTGCATACAAAAGCCTGATATTTAAGGTGAAGAAGGGTAGAGGGGCAGGCATTATAGATTTTTTGGGCTCTTTACACTTGCAGCAGTGATAATCTACTCCCTATGTATATACCTTTACACTTTCTTGATGAAATACCTTTAAAAAATAAAAAATAAAAAAAGAATAGGAAGCTCATATTCATGTCTAGGTTAGATAACAGATTACCTATTAAAATTTCAAGAACCCAAATTCTCAAGAAATTTTAATATCTAAAGTTGCCAATCATTAACCAAAAGTGAAATTGTTGTAAGAAGGGACCAAGGGGTTCCAACCCAGTACAAGTTGAAGCACAAAATATCCAGTCTATAACAAAATATACAAACCAAATATCCCCATTCAACTTTCAACAACTGAAATTCTCAAGCAATTCGATGATCCCCAAACATAAAATTTCAACAGGAAAAAAAAGAGAGACATAGGACCGAAAAAATGAAGGGAATCCTAGTGTTTTTTAAGCCTCAGGGGTTGCTTCTGATTTGCTAGTCGATAAATCCAGTACACCTACACAAATTCCATCATAATGAATCAAATACTCTACCCTAACCAAATTGTCATCATACTACGCCAACTAATAATTAAAAGGTAATAAGAGAAAGTACCAAAGCGAGGACATGGGCACCGATAAGTATGACCACTAGAAGAGGTACTGCTTCGAGACGACTCTGTATTTGTTGCTGATTCACCATTTTCGAAGAAAAGTGAATCTGTGGCTCTCTGAATTTATTTATAGTATCAAACAAATGGGGTGTGCCTGTATTCTATGCTGGAAAATGCAAATTGGTAAAACCCTCCTTTCCCAATTACTACTCTATAGCTTCATTTTATATTTTTATTCAAGGTTGAATTTCTATTTTCCTACATTACTTAGTTATTTTTTTGTAAATAAATATCAATGTTTTATGATTTTTTTTTACTTTCTGTTAATTAATGACAAAATATTTTATTTTTTTAATATTGGTCAATAATTTACTTTATCTATTGATAGAATAAAATGTTTAAATTATGGTATAGGAATGGGAAGCATAATTTTCCTAATTCTGATGGAATAAGAGAATAATAATTTATTAGAAACCCCTCATATTATTTTGTTATTTCTATTATATAATTTTACTATATCTTGTTTTCCTCACTTAACAATTCTTATCAATAATTTAATCATTTTTAATGATAATAGGATGAAAAAAAAGATCAAGATGGAAAATAAAAACTTATATCACACCAGCTTCTGGTCTCTAGCATCAATTCCTTTGAACACTAAATATTGGAGAATAAATTTTTCTTATGAGTGGAGAAATAATTCATCAATTCGAAAAAACGATACATAAAAAGAGTGTTGAATTTCATATCCTTCAAAAATAATTATAGAAGGATCTAAAGATGATTTCATGTTATTTTAAAGAATTTCTAAAAGTCTTGAGATTGTATATTGTAACCGTTGAAAATTAATTAAAGAAAGATCAAAAAATGAGATCATGTTATTTTAAAGAGGCCTTAAGACATTTTGTATTGTGTGCTTTCTTGGAATTTGAGTCATTTAGAACATAAAAATAATGAGAAATCGAACAAAAAGTTAGAAAGGCAACTATTTTTGTTGCTAAATGAGAAGGTTATCATCCTAGTTGGTGGGACTAGAATGTCCCTGTCGCACACCAAAATCACAAGAGTCGCGTGATCGGCGGCACCATACTTATTCTGCTACTCATACAATGCATGTACACGAGGAGGTTTTCAAACTGACCCAAATCATGTTACAATAACATATCAAAACAATATCCCAACTAAGGTATTCATCATTTACACGCTCAAGGAGTATTATGGAGCTTTTAAATGACAATAGAATATACCAATCTCGGTCAAACTAATTGTTTCTTATTTTTTTGGTAATTAATCTATTCATTATGAATAATCTTTTTTCTCTAAAGGTGTAGCAATATATATATATATAATATTAAAAGGTCAAACTCGATCATATATGTATTGGAATTCGATTAGGCTCGACCGATATCCTGATTGTAACGACTCAATCAGTTATTTTGAGTTATATGGCATTGTTTTCTTATCTGATACTTCCCGTAGGTTCATTTGGTATTTTTTACTTGCGAGTATAGTTAGAATAGATCTCATCAGATTCGAGAGTGATTTGGAATACCTAATTCATAACTATAGGTTTAAAGTTAAGAGAGTTAATCAAAGTCAACATTCTGGATAAATGGACTCGGAATCAAGATTTGAAGGTTCCAATAGGAGCGTATGATGATTTTGGATTTGTGCTTATGTTTGGATCGGATCTTGGATAGCTCGAGAAGGAGTAGGCACTTTAACTTGGAAGTTAACAATTTGAAGAACTTAAAAAATTAAGAGTTTAACTCAAGTTTGACATTTGAATTATTGCGCTCCAATTCATATTTTGAGCTTTTGAATAGTATATAGGTTATTTGGAGTTGTTGAAATGATTTTAAGGTGACCCAAGGTGCTCGAGTGTGATTTAGATACATCAAGTGAAAAGTTAGAATTTGAAAGTTAAGAAAGCTTAAGATTTTGGTTTGATGCTTAATTCTTGGTTTTGATATTGTTATTTATATTTTGAGTCTTTGGATAAGTTTGTGTAGCGTGTATAAACTAGTTAGGATAAATTAGATGGGGTCCTGAGAGATCGTGTGATTTTCGACGCATTTGGGACTAGTTTTGGAAGAATTGAGTTGTTGAAACTTGGATTCTTTACGGTTAAGCCTAAATTTAAACGAGTATTTCTTTAAATCTATAATGAGTTTGGAGATGAACCAGAAATAAAACTTGTAGCCCTTTAAATCTAGTTTCCAGAAAGTAAAATCATTCATTATTCTGATATCTGAGCACAAAGTTATGAATATTTGACTGAAGGGTGGCATTGCAGTTTTTTGGTAGCACAGTGGTGTAGGTCGCAACACTAGTGTGATGCGAAGGGCGAGGCCCAAGGCATTGTGGCAGTACATTTTTACTGTCAAGTATTTTGACACACTATAAATAGAGTCTATTTAGTGGTTTTGATATTTTTCTTCAATTTTGGAGCATGGGGACTCGATTTTAAGGGGTTTAACCCATTTCTTCATCAACCATATCAGGGTAAATGATTCTAATTCATTTCTATAATAAAGTTAAGGATTTATTTTTTTAAAACATGAAATCAATGACTTGGGAGAAATCAAGTGAGAAATGAAAGAAAACCTAGAATGAAGAATTGTTGATTTAAGCATGTTAATAACATCAAAATTAAATTTTGATTATAGATTTGGCTTCCATGACTCATGGGTAGTCGGGATCCCATTTTAATTTTGAGTTTTAACAAAGTGGGCTTGGGTTGATTTTTTCTAAACTCATTAAAGAATGAAACTTTTTGGATTGATATTGATTCCTAAGGAACTTTTTGACTCCCTTAAATATTGATTGACTAGATTTGGGATATTTGGAGGCCAATAACAAAAGAAAGTATTTTTTAGAGAGTTGAAGTTGTTCTGGAAAAAGGTAAGTGTGTTGCTTAACCTCGACTTGAGAAAATATTTTTTAAAATAAAATTATATGCTACATGCTTTGTGTTTGGAGATGACGTATATTCGAGGTAACGAGCGTATATGCGAACACTAAGGTTATGCCATATTTGGGATAGATTTTAGGCTTATTTATACCTTGATTCGATATATACTCTACTTGTGATATGTTTTAAATTGTTTGTATGACTACTTGAGTTTTCGTATTCATGTTAAAGATTATGTCTATGTAACATGATAAGTAGGGATTTTGACCGCTTATTTGCTCTCTTTTACTTGTGTTTTAGCTCAAAAATACTTAAAGGTATTCCCGAAAAATAGGGGTGTCAGTGGATATTTAAAAACCGACCGAACCGTATCGCACCGAACTAATTTTTAGGTTTCTTTTAATAAAATTATCGATTTTTATATAAATATATAACCGTACCGATAATTAGGGTAGGTTTTTATTTTAAGAAAATAAATAGAAAAAATACCGAACCGTACCGAACAAATTTACATGGTATATATATATATATATANTGGACCTTGAAATTATGAAAACGGTTACAAGCCAACAAGCAATTAAACTCAAAATCCTAATTCTCAAACCTATTATACTACTCCAATTGAAACTAAATTATTTCCAACATATTCACTAGTAAGACTCAAAGTGTTCTAGGAATTATGAGTAGTAAACTACAATGTATTGAATATGTTTCCTTTTATATGATCTAAATTTATATTTTCGAATATTTAACCATCTATAAACTTTATTCTTGAGTCTCAGTTTGCTTAATATCTTTCCACTCGTGTGATTTATATTTTCTTTATATTTGCTTAGTTTCTTTTACGCTGTTGTAGAATAGTTGACGGATTTATACTCTGATCATCCTTCATGTTTTCTTAATTCATCAACATTTAAATAGCAAAAATGTCTAGAGAGTTTTGTTAAGTCCTATAAAAGTACGTATGTTATTACATTCTACTTACACTAATAACTTTTAAATGACATTTTAAAAAGTATCCAAAATTAACCGTACCGATACCGAAGAGAAACCAACATGATTGGTACGGTTTCTAAAAGTCTAATTTTGGTTATACATAGTAGAATAACCGAAAAAATAATATGGTATAAATTTTATAAAATAACCGGCTGAACCGAACCATTGGCACCCCTACCGGGAACTAATAAAATGTATTTTCGTGCAGGAATATTGGGAGACGAGCCAAAGAAGTCAAAATCAACTCATAAAGGAGTCAAAAATGGACAAGGACCAAAACAAGGCAAAAAGGCCCACAGTGCGGACCGCACAATACTGTGTGCGGCCGCAAAATAATGAAACATCACTGTCAGATATCCTTCAGAGTATGCGGATTGCACAATTATTGTGCGGCCGCAGAAGAGGAGATTCAGAGAGTTAGTTTTTGGGCAGACTAAAGATATGCGGACCGCACCATAATTGTGCGGCCGCAGGATGACAAGTGCGGCCGCACTCATAATTGTGTGGTCCGCAGAAGAGAAGAATCAGAGAGACATATTCCAGTCCAAGTTCAAGTGTGCGACCGCACTCAGAATTATGCGGTCCGCACAATCAAATAAAGTGCGGCCGCATCCCACTTTTATGTGACCACAGAAGGCCCAGTTGACCAGTCAATCTTAGAGTGTGGACCGCACACAGAATTGTGCGGCCGCACAACCTACGCAGGGTGTATTTTTGTCAGATATTTTTAGCTTAGTATAAATAGAACTTTTGTTCATTTTTAGGGTAAGTTTTATTTTGGGAGAGCACCTGAGTCGTTTTTCTTTACTATTTTGAGTGATATTATACTAGATTAGCTTCTAAACATTAGATTTTCTTTCCATAATCAATTATTATGCATTCTATCTTAATTTCTTCTTGTATTTCTTCATTTTTCATGAGTAGCTAAATTTTTAGCTAGGGTTGTGGCCCAACCCTCGTGTAGGTACTTAATGGGTGTTTGATTTAGGACTTATTTGTGATTGGGTTAGTGATATTTAGCTTATTTCTTGCTTGAATTCAAGAATTAATGGTTGCAATATTGATTCATGCCTAATTGACTTAGTCTCTACTTGAGAAAGAGAGACTAAGTCTAGCAAAACTTGGCTAACAAGAAATTGGGGTGAACTCAATAAATTGATAGCCCCAATTAAAGGGTTGAATATAGAGATAGTAAGACCCGACTTGAGCATTTATCACTTGTTTTGTGCAATACCCATTTGAACTTGAGAAAGCCAAATTGGGCAAAATCACTTAAACTACCGATA